TGTGTGTGCTGTTGGTGCCTGCGCAGCTCACCTCCTCGGTACTGGGGGCGGTGGTACGGCAGCCTAGAAGGCTTCTCCTGGGTGCTGGCACTGGGGGCAGTGGTACGGTGGCACAGAAAGCTCCTCCTCCATGCTGGGGGCGGCTCTCAAAAATTTTCATATGATCAAGAAGTTGCAGGTATCAGTATTGGCTGGCAAGACTCTTCTTGGAAGTCACACAGCACTCAGGCTGCTCCTTGTTTCACCATCCTTGGCCCATGTCTTTTATCCTCATCCGACAGCTTTCAGCCTTGTTATCTCAAGATAGCTCATACTTATAAAACTGCTATATAAATTCAATGCAATCCCAATTGCAATTCCAGCAGCATACTTTCACGGACCTTGAGAAAACAGTCCAAAAATTCATTTGCAGCAAGGAGAGACCTAGAATAACAAAAGCAATTCTAGACAACAGATACGTGGCAGAGAGTATCACAACCCCCAACTTGAAAGTATACTACAAAGCTACTGTGATAAAAACAGCATGGTACTGGCAAAGAAACAGACCTAAGGACCAGTAGAACAGATTAGAAGAGGCAGAAACAACTCCAGACACACTCAGGCACCTCATCTTTGACAGAGGAGCCAAACACCCTCACTGGAGGAAAGATAGCCTCTTTAATAAATAGTGCTGGAAAAATTGGGTTTCAACTTGCAAAGATTAGAACTAGAGAACGGGGTATTTAGCTCAGTGGTTCTGCCGCCCGCCATGCAAGCAGAAGGACCTGAGTTCAATCCCCAGTACCAAAAAAAAATCAAAAAACTAGACCTATATCTCTCACCATTCACTAAACTAAAATCGAAATGGATTAAAGATCTAAATATTAAAACAGAAATGCTGAACTGGCTAGAACAGAGGTTAGGTAGAACTCTTGAAGACATTGGTGTAGGAAAAGATTTTATGAGCAAAACCTCAGTTGCCCATGAACTAGCACAAACAATCAACAAGTGGGATCTCTTCTTACTAAAAAGCTTCTGCACAGCAAGAGAAACCACCAGCAGTGTGAAGAGACAACCCACAATGTGAGAAAAAATTTTCACCTGCTGTTCCTCAGACAAAGGCCTACTATCTAGAAGGTATAAAGAACTTAAAAAGATCAGACCTCCCAAATTTAAAGACCCAGTCCAAAAATGGGCATCTGAAACGAACAGGCATTTCTTAGACAAAGAAGTAGAAATAGCAAATAAACAAATGAAAAAATGTTCAACATCACTGGTCATTCGAGAAATGCAAATGAAAACAACGCTGAGATTCCTCCTCACCCCGGAAAGAATGGCTGCCATCATGAAATCAACCATAACAAATGCTGGCAGGGCTGTGGGGGAAGAGGAATACTGCTCCACTGCTGGTAGGAGTGTAGACTGGTGCAATCACTGTGGAAATCAGTATGGAGATACCTCAAAGAACTAGGACTGGAAGTCCCATCTGACCCAGCTATTCCCCTGGTGGGTATCTTCCCCAAAGAATTAAAAGAATCATATCATAGTGATATATGTGCACCCATGGTCATAGCAGCACCATTTGTAATAGCTAAAACTTGGAAGCAGCTCAGTTGCCCATCAACTGGAGACTGGATAAAGAAAATGTGTTTTTAAAAATAAAATGGAGTACTACTCAGCCATAAAAAATGAGAGATTACAGACGTTTATAGCTAAATGGATGCACACTAAGGCCATACTCTTAAGTGAAATAAATAGGACACACATGTAGATACTGAATAGTTTCTCCAGTTTGAGAAACTGAAAGTGTAAATAAGGACTAAAAGGTATAACAGATAATGTGAAATAGGAAGAAGAGTGCCAGAGGGGAAGTGGAAGTGGCAGAGATAGGGGAAAGGACAGAAGGGAATGAAATTAATATGAGAAAATGAAAAAATGGAAACAACCTCTTTCTAAATAGGGATGGAGGGGTTGATAAGGAAGGTGGAGTAATGCAGAAAAAATAAGAACCAAGAGAGATTATGTAAAGGTGCAGATTTCCAGTGATCAGTGTCATTATATTGTATACCTAAAATGTACCAATAAAATTAATTTTAAAAATCCAAAAACTGAAAGACAGAAAAGTTGCCAATTTATGGGAAAGGTCTCATGGTTCCAAATCCATTTCTTGATAACTGCACATTTGTTTTGTGCATCTTCTCTTGATATGTGGGCCTGTTCAGAGATAGGATGACCATAAAGATGAGTCCATGCATTCTCTTGATGTTTTACTGCTAGAACACCTACTCAGTCCCGCCCAAACTTGCTTGACTGTAGCTCTATAGCACCCCCTGGATGCCGCTTCTATTGAGCTGTTGAAAACACTTCCAGTTAAGTTGCCCCTAGTTACTGATGTGCTAAAGGAAGAATATGTATTTCCTTTGTTGTGAATATACTCTCAAATACATCTTTCAACAGTTGTTTATGTACCTAACTGCAAAGGAGAGTTTAATGTTCACACACCCCTGTGATATTTAGCTCAGGGTCAGATAGAGTGTGAAAGGAGAAATGTAAAGGATAATCAAGCTTAGTATGTTGAACCCTCCTTCCTGTCTACGGGAAAAAGTACTCTGTGCCTGAGCCCAGGCCATCCCTTCTTGATAGTGTTGAGATGATACTCTTTTTCTTCTGTATTTTCTTCTTTATTATGTACTATTTTATTGGCTTTTTTGATAGCATATACACATATCTTAATATTTTCCATTGAAAGAGAAAAGCTGTGAGACCCTCATTTTTAAAAAAATTAAATTAATTTTAATTGATGCATAAAAACATAAAAATTGTACCTATTTTGGGGGTACCATGTGATGTTTAGATATGTGCATACAATTGTGTAATATTTATATCAGTGTAAACATACCTGTCTTCTCAAATGTTTACCATTTGTGTATGGTAAAACATTAAAATTTTTTCCTGTTAGCTTTTTGACATATATAGTACATTATCATTACTGTACAATAGCACATCAGAACTAACCCTTACCTAACTACAGCTTAGTACCCATGAGTAGTCTTTCCCTCACCTCCCTCCCTACTCTCCCCAGCCTCTGGTAGTGATCATTCTATTTTCAATGTCTATGAGATCAACTCTTTTAGATTCCACATATGAGTGAGATCATGCTGTACTTGTCTTTCTGTGTCTGGCTTATTTCACTTAATGTATTGATCTCCAGTTCCATCCATGTTGCAAATGACAGGATTTTTTTATGTTTTAAAATGGCTGAGTATTCCATCGTGTGTGTGGATACCACATTTTCTGTATTGGTCAGTTGATGGAAGTGTGTATTGTTTCCATTTTTGCCTTTGTCAAAGTCCTGCAATGAATATGGGAGTGGAGTGCATATGTTTCTTTGTAAGTTTCTTTAAGAATGCTTTTCTGTACCTCTTTTCTCCTACTGTTTTCCCATCTTACTGCCCTATGGCTCTGCCAGTCCTAGTCCTCTGTTAAAACTACCCTGTGAACACTGGGAGAAAGCTACTACAGATATTCCTTGTTTAATGACCTACCTGCTTAATGACTGTTTGGATTTACAACTGAGTCGCACTGTTCAGACTTATGACCCATTGCTTGGACATATGACCATTTTTATCTTTGTATAGTTCTGTACATCTTGTTAATAGAGCCTCAGTGTCTTTTTGTGCAGTATATCTTGTTTATACAGTACTGTAATTTTTACTGATTGTACTGTACAGTATAGTACCGTAGTTTTATGTTCTGTTATATAATACAATACTGCACATAAGATTTATGCAAATAAAAGCAAAGTCATCAAGTTGGAGTTTTCTTTGATCGCTTCTTTGTTCTGAATTTTTTAATGTACATACTATATACAGTTCCTCATTTAGTGACCAATTCATTTAACAACCTACTTGTAGGACCATGACTTGGTCATTAAACAAGGAATGTCTGTATATTTAATCAAGTTTGCATGGCAGGACAGAGAATGTTAGGAAACATTGAAGATCTTGGTGGAGATAGCTATTCTGAATTTGTTATTGCTTTATAGTTCAGGCTGTTTCTCCCATGAATCCCCAGTAGCAAAGGGTCATGTTTATTGATTTTGTTTGGGTCTAGTAAGGTATACTGAGTAGGCAGGTATTGATAGTTAATATTGGTGTTCCAGGATGTCTTAGAGGTCCTTCCTAGATTCTGAATCACTTAAGAAATAAAGGTCTGAACAGGATCCAAACATGAACATTTTTAGTAGTTGTGTTAGTCAGCTTTCTGTTACTATAATACAATACCCGAGATAATCAACTTACAGAGAAAAAAGGTTTATTTTGGCTCAGTTTTAGAGGTTCTGGGCTATGAGGCTGTGGCCTATGACTGATTGGCCCCCTTGCTTTGGATCTGTGGCAGCACATCATGCCAGGAGCAACCATTCACCTCATGGGGAGGAAGCAAAGAGGAAAGGGAAGGGGGCTAGGTTCCCATAATCCTTTTGGGAGGGACACCCAAAGGACCTTTCACTAGGCTCTACCTTGTAAGGGTTCCCCCACCTCCCAATAGTGCTACCATGGGGACCAAGCCTTTAACACATGGGCCTTTGGAGGACAATCAATACCCAAATTATAGCTGTTGTGATTGTTGGACTAGGGAAATGGCTTAGATATTCTGTGATACATTCATACCTTAGAATGTACTTATTAGTGTGGGTCTGCAGAGCAGACATCCATCTACGGTCCACATGATGTCCCTTGGTTTTTATCAACTAGAAGCAGTATTCCCAAATAATTATGATCTGTAAATTGTATATCTCAACTTCTTGGTTCTTCATATCTGACTAACTGGGGTTTCTGCCTCAAGCATGCTAGATAAATGCTCTACCTCTGAGTACTTCCCTATCCCCTGGACTTTTTTGATAGCTGTATTATTTATATGTGTGAAAGGTTCATGCATTTATTAATGACCTAATTAGTCAAACTATTAGTGTCCTTTCTGTTATCACATATCCATTTTGTTTATTTCCCTCCATTGTACAGGTTGAATATAAACTTGGATTCCAAGTAGACAATTTTGTGGCCATGGACATGCCCCAGGTCAACATTTCTGTTCAGGGGGAAGTTCCACGCACTTTATCAGGTAAGATTCTCAAGTCTCAAAGCACAGTTAGCACACTCTTTTCAATTGTGTCTCCTTCATCTTGTTTTATAAAGGAAAGTTTACTGATGTGTAGTGTGTCTTCATAGATACAAAATGTGTAAGTACTGTGGAAAGTAATTTTTTGGGGAGGGGCAGTTCAATCCAGGGCCTTTTCACTGAACTACATCCCGAATCCTTTTCTTCATTTTTTAATTTTGAGGAAGGGTCTTGTTAAGTTTCTAAGTTCCCAGGCTGGGCTTGAACTTGACAATCCTCTTGCCTCAGCCTCCCAGAGTGCTGGGATTATAGGTTTGTACTACTGTGCCCATCTGTGAAAACTAATATTTATAAATACTGATTTTTTTTGTAGCATGTTTTTAGACTATTTCCTCCTTCCCATCGTTAGAACTGTGTCAGTTGTCTCTTTTTCTGCATTGCTGGCACTGACCTCCACACAAGTTCCTGTGTCTGGTGTTACTCCTCTTTGATTAATTTCCACATCCCACACTGTGGCCCAGATGGTCATTGCACACTCACATCTGACCACAGGCATCCAGCCCCTCACTGCTTTCTCCTTCCTCAACTGAGTACATTCCAGACTCCTTAGCCTATGTGCTGGATCCTTTATTATGTAACCCTTCCTGCTGCACTTGGCCCAGCAGTTTCAGATTACATGCAGTTTTCAAATCCGTGCCTTTGCATGTGCTAGTTTCTGTATTTGTAACTATCTTTTCTTTTTTTCTGATTATGAACTATCCATCCCACTCATTCTACATGACACAAAATGTGCACTGCCCTCTTCCTGCCTTCTTCTCTCCCTCAGATTATTAACATTTTCTTAAGTTTTTCCTGCCCCGTAGAACCTTGCATTTAACTGTCTTTGAACCAATTACATCAGTGATGGTGAACCTTTTAGAGCTTTCAGTGATACAAATAGCCAGCTGTGGCACGTGTGCCTTAGGTTCACCATCACTGGATTACATTATCTGATAATTCCCTTGGTGCTTAGAATAGCAGTTCTTATGGGATAGGAACTCAGTACTTGTCTGAATGAATAAAATAAGTGTCTTATTTATATCAATTTAACTACTGTTGAGATAATTTTTTAGGAGTGGTCTTGAAGACAGGAGATTTTAAATAAATGGAAATTTTTAAAAAATTGAAAGTCTAAACCACAGCAGTGTTGTGGGACTTTTCCTGGCATTCTTACCACTGTTATTAGTGACATGTGTTAATCTAAGCATTCAGGAAGCTCAGGAATGCTAGTTAATTTTTATAGGTTAGTAAAGAAACTCAGAAATGTCTGAGTCTCTGATACATTCACACAGATGATAGAATGATATATTCTGAATTTATAGGAAAAGAATCTTAAACTGAAAGATTAAGAATATACACTAGGACCAGGGCTCAGTGGCACCGCACCTGCCTCGCAAACACAAGGTCCTGAGTTCAATCCCCAGTACAAAAAAAAATATACACTAAAGTTTATTATCCACTTGTTTCCGTTTTTGATTAAAACCAGTTTCTATTTCTAAAGGTAATGTTTTCAGTTCATAGTTGAGAATTTTAGAAGATTTGTTTATAGATGTATACTTATTTATTTATACATATTTATACTTGTTTACAGGTTGTACTCCCATTTTCTTTAACCTGTAATCTTTTCATTAAGATAGTACATTATTGCGCTTTGGTACTGCTATCTTTTCTTATCATGTAATTTTTGTTACTGTGCTGATGTAACAGAAGGTCAGCAGGGTTTGCCTTAGGATTCTGTAGCTTCAGTGTATTGGAATAGCAGGATTTAAGAGACAAATTGATATATTAAGATAATAAGTAAAATTTGAAAATAATTGTCTTTATTTTTGTCTTGTTTGTTCTCCAGCACTTTTATATCTGTAATGAGTGAAATACTTAATGTCTAGAACTCATAATGATATAAAGATGTGTGCTCTGAAAGCTAATTTATTTATTTAAATGTATTTTTGGTTTATTGCAGCAAAAATCAATCTAAAATGGTCAGTAAGAGCTATTTTGGGGGGCATTAAAGTTGATTTTCAGAAAATTAAAGTATTTTTTCTTATTCCTTTTAAACAGTGTTTCGGGTCGAGCTTTCCTGTACTGGCAAAGTAGATTCTGAAGTTATGATACTAATGCAGCTCAACTTGACAGTAAATTCTTCAAAAAATTTTACAGTCCTAAATTTTAAACGAAGGAAAATGTGCTACAAAAGTAAGGAATTTATTTAATGAAATGTGTTTTATGCAGATGTGACAGGACCAGTGATAGATTTATTGTTTTATAGATTTAATTATGACCAAATCTTGATTCTAGTTGCAAAGGAGAAAAGAAAGCTCTAGCAGCTGAAATTCTGAGTTCATTTCCAGAGAGTTTATAGCAGGGCTGTCATACAGGCTCTAAGACCTTGCTTTCTCAGATCTTTTGGCGGAATTGCTGGGATATTTTCTGTTAGGAACATGAAATAATTCTGAAATGACTGAAGAGTTAAAGAAGTAAGATAAATCTGTCAGGGCCTCCAAGTAACCTGAGTATTAACTGTATTTTCCTTGTAAGTTACTTTTATGCAGAGTTGCTGTCCTGCGTTAGATGGACTTTGGCTGGAAGGACAGTCCTGCTCTTTTCAGAATATTAAGGCAGTTACTTCACTTCTCTTGGGGTTAGGTTTTCCATCTGTAAAATGGCTGTCATACCTGTTTCAGAGTATTTTTTTAAAGGTTAATTAAAGCTAGCCTAAAACTTAGAATATTATATGTGGATACTTAGTAAATATTACTCATTTGTGGTTTTCAGTAAATCACAGTGTGTATGAAAGGATTCCAGCACCTTAGATCATAGATCAGAAAATTTAAGAGTTCTCCTCACCCTAAGGTGCACAGAGATAAAGTAACCTAGTTCATAAGGTAGAACTGGTTATTATCTAAGATAGGGGAAAAAAAACCCTAAACGTACTGAATGCTTGCCACGTTCTACTTGCTGAACCTGCATTGACTCCATTTACTCCTTAGTAATAACCCCAGGCAATAGGTTCTCTCATATCTCCATTTGCAGAAGAGGAAACTGAGGTTCAGATAATCTTACTGACTTGCCCAGGTCAGATAGCTAAGCCATGTGGCTAGTTTGTAGACTGTGCTTCTTTGTTAAACTGCCCATTAGCAGATTTCCAAGTTGAAATTTGTGCTGAGTGTTATGAAAACATCTGAGGCTAGCTAGCAAGTGGGTTATAATGACTAATGTCTAGATACACGTCAGTGAAAAAGCTGTACTGCTTTTAAATAGACATTTTAAAAATAAAGTTAGGATCTTTAGCTTTAGGGTTTTGATACATTTTCAGTTTTAGTATATTGTTATGTACTTGTTTTCCTGTAATTTTAAAGCTAAAGGAGACTGTAGAGACTCTTTATTATAACCTAGTCATTATATAATTGATATGAGGAGACCAAAGCCTAGAGAAGCCACCTAAGTTTGCATGGCCAGTCAATGAGAATGTAGGGCATCCAGTTCCTAATCCCCAGGGAAGTGGGCAGTGGCTATATTGTAGTGTTTCATTGCTGACTTACAGGCAGAATGATGGCTAAATGTGTGTGGTCTGTGGATCCTGCCAAACACTGCTACTGTCTACAAAGGGTAATGATCAACTGATATTTAGAATGATCCTGTACCTTCTTTTTAAAATTTTTATTTATTTATTTATTTTTGGTACCAGGGATCGAACTCGGGACCTTGCGCTTGTGAGGCAGGTGGTGGAACCACTGAGCTATATCCCCGGCCCCCTTCTCTTTTTTAATGTGCACATGAAAATTAATATTAAAATTCTCTGTTGGTATAGTTTACCATTCTATTTTAGATTTAAGTTTTAATATAGTAACACCCTTTTTATTTGATGATCTGCTTTTAGTCACTCCAGTCATCCAGTTTATGTTTATGACTCTTATTTTAGCATGTGATTCTAAAATATTTACTTATGTGGTTTCTCAGACTATTATGTTTAAAAAGTTGTCTACAATAGAAAATAATATCTGTGGTGTAAGGAACATTAATAGGTATTACTGCCTAGAAAAAGTTATTTTATCATACGAAGGTGGAAATTATGAATTAGATTAGTTTTGTTGCTCTGCAGCTCCCTAGAGCCTCTGAATTCTGCTAAATTCATCGAGACAGTATAAGATAAGGATTTTTCCAGGCTTCTTGACCACAGAAACTTTTTCATTGAGCATGTATAAGCAGTATCCTTTGGCTAAGACTGGCATTGATTGATTATTGATTGATGACTGTACTGATGATTATTAGAATACCAAAGTTTTCATTATTTGAACAAATATCTTTTTACTTAATTTAGGTATTGTTCTGTTAGAACACAAAACTATTAGAGAAAATTCAGAAAATATCATAGTATTTAAGGATTTTTTGGGAAAAGACTCTCCAAAGTATCTTTTACCTCTTTTTTAATTCAGAACTTGAAGAAGTAAAAACTTCAGCATTGGACAAAAACACTAGCAGAACTATTTGTAAGTGTTACTCTATTACCTTTCTCCATTACTAAGGATTAAAAAAAATGGTTAATTGCCTATGATCATGATTGGATGAAGCTTGCAGGCCTTATAATTTCTAGGTTGTAAAATGATAACACCTTGCTATTTATTTTGCTCATACTTTATGTGTTATATAGGTCAAATGAAACTATTAGAATATTGACTATTTTGAGAAATAAAATTAGTATGTATTTTATGACAAGTTAGTGAAAAAACTTTTAGAAGCAAGAGTTTATATCATGCCTTTTTGACTGGTAATAGTTAAAGGATGAACAGGAAAGTATGTGTAAGATCTTTATTCACAAAAGGTTGGAAAACCCGAACTGTAGCCTGGTTCTATCCTATGATAATTTCACCTAGGTGAAAGTGCAAGTTTAAAAATAGTATATTATTTAAACCCACAGAACAGAATCTCAAAGTGGAGTTTTATTTTTTGGTATTGGTTGTGTTTAGACCCTATAACAGGCTCTTCTTTTCCTTTTCTGACATGAATGCATCATGGGATCATATTCTTCTGAGATAGTACTAATAGCAGTATCTCAAAAGGATACTAAATCCTTCTCTTCATGGAAGTTGACGTAAACATTTTTTAAGGGGAGAATTTCAGGTGTGTACAGAAGTTCATTGTATGCTCTGATGAACCCATGAGACGCACCCATCATTTGATTTCAGTGGCAGTCATTTTGCCAGTGTTCTTCCTTTGTTTACTTCCTCTTTAGGTTAGCTAGGAAGGGTTAGAGTATTATATTTTATTTATTTATTTATTTATTTATTTATTTATTTTTGTTAAATTCTTTTATTGGTACATTTTAGGTATACAACACAATTACATTTCTCATTGGGAAATGTACCATTACGTAATGCATCTTGGTTCTTATTTTTTCCCCATTCCTAGCCCTCCCTTCACGCCCTCCACCCTTCCCTATTTACAA